TTTTTCTCAGTGCAAATACTTTTACTTAAAATAAAAAAATTTTACTTGCTTTATGAAAATTATTTCTTTGAGGGGTACCTGAAACATATTTATTTGTTTTAAGTAATTTTTTTTCTCAGTGTACGATTCTGTACAATGTAGATTATTTACTTTTCGAAAAAAATGATTACCCAAAAAAACTCCTAATGAACGATATCTAGCATAACTACGAGGCGTATCGCGTTACTCTCTTTACAAATATCACAATACTTCTGGATTTACGTAACAAAACCTCGCGTGACTATTCGAGCTTACAAATTTTCTACAGAATGGTATATGATGTTACTTTTATATACTATCGATCCTGTCGTACTTACGTTTGAAATCGGCACTTTCTCTTTTCAATTTGCAACCCTATTTTTTTAATAGATTCAATTATGTAAAAAACCGTATATGCTGTGAAAAGTATTAAATTCGACATAGGTTTTCGATCATTGCGACATTCGCTCAATAATTGATACTTTACCTCGATCGTATTTGTAGGACGATTTGTATTTCACATATATTAGAGGGAGTGGGAAAGCGAATACCACTTGAAGTTCTTTCTTTTTGTAAGAATTATATATTTATTTAATAATTTTATTTTCAAATTATTCGTACAGTGAAACCATCGCGACTGCGTATACAGAACGCGAATGACGACGGCAATTCGAGAGACGTGTGACACGTCTAACGTTTGGCGCTCTTCTCGACGTAGGGAGGGAACCGTAGGAAAATCTTGCGATTCTAAACGGCGAATGAATCTATATATGCAATATTATTCCTGTATGAAGCGTTCTCGCTACGAGCGCGCGAGCGAGCGAGCGAACGAGCATTCACGAGTCGCTCCGCGGCGAATCTGAGATTGCGCCAAACGTGACGCGTATGTATCGCGTCGCGCCTCGTGTGTTTCGCGGTGCGCTCTCTCCCGTGAAACTTTGTAAATGAATTTGCCATCGTTGCTCCGGAAGTGTATCGAATCGTGTGTCACTCGTGCGCGAGTTCAAAGCGCGAGCGAGCGAGCGAGTAAGCGAGCGAGCATGCACGAGTCGCTCCGCGGCGAATCTGAGATTGCGCCAAACGTGACGCGTATGTATCGCGTCGCGCTCCGTGTGTTTCGCGGTGCGCTCTCTTTTCTGGAACTTGGTAAAAAAAATTGCCATCGTTGCTGCGGAAGTGCAGTGAATCGTGTGACTCGTGTACGATTCTTCCGTCCCAAGCGCGAGCGAACGAGCGTTCGTGCACGAGCGAGCATGCACGAGCGACGACGAGATATAGTATTAAGCGTGACGTGGTGCGTCGCGCCCTGTGTGTTGCGCTCTCTCCTCTGGATCTATGTAAAATAGATTTGCGATCGTCGCTCCTGGAATATGTAATGCGTCTGCGATGCGTTCGGTCCGCTACGTGAGCGTGCCTACGCGAGCGGTACGGCGACGATACGAGATCGTTCCAGGGTGCGACACGTCCCGTTTCTTGTTACGCGATTCTCTCTCTCTGTCTGTCTCTCTCTTTCTCCTACGAAACTTTCGAAATAATTTTGCGATCGAAAACATAACATGATATAGTATATATAACATACAACATATATGATGCGCGACGTTGGCAATGTATGTCATACATACGTATGTAATAAAACGTGTGCAATTTTTTGCATATGATGACTATGTACATGGTTCTCGTTTTTCCTCTCCCCCCCTAGGTCTTCATCGAAACGTGAGCACACTTGAATTACGCGGAGTGTACCCGCGCGTTTGCACGTGCGTTGATGTTACGTGTGTGCGCGCGCGTGTGTTACACGCCGAAACTTGAGCGTGACGCGCGTCTGCGCACGCGAGTCGACGGATAGATAGGCTGCGTTCCTTTTGGCGCTTACAGCGCTTATAAGCATCATTTGTCTTTGTTCAATATTTGATAAACAACAAGGATGAAATGATTTTGTAAGCGCTGTAAGCAGCTGTAAGCGCCAAACGGAACGCAGCCATAGAAATATTAAGGGAGAGAAAGAGAGTGAGACAGAGAGAGAGCTCAGAGCAACGTTGCGGAGCGAACAGCTGTTCCGTACACCTGTGGAGTGCTGATCCTCTTTCCCTCACACGCTCGCCATCTCTTTCTCTGTACAGCAGCTGATTGTCGCGATCAACCCTCGCTCGCGACGACGACGACAACGACGACGACGATGCCGACGAGCGTCTGCGTGGTGGACGCGGCAGCGATCGTGCTCCTCGATCGCGCGACAACTGCTGCTTCACGGTTGCACTGCCGACCGCGGTCACCGTTAGCGGCGCCTCTCAGCGTCGACGTCCATCGCGCGAAGCGCGGTAGATCCACCGTCGGTCATAGGGCCGACGCGTGGACAAGTTGGTCGCGCGAGGCTTCGACGGTGTCGCCGGTGACGCTGCCTCACCTTCCGTGTGCGTGTGTGAGTGAGTGCGGCAGACGCGTCGTCGGCGTCGTACGAGAGCGTCCAATTCGCCG